TTATTCCAAATAATAAATTCTTCCTCTTTCTCAATTTATCATCATGTCAAGTTGCTAGTATGAAGGCAACCCAAAAGGACGGTGCTACTATCAATTCAAGTATATACCAATTATAGTTATGGGTTTAGACACCTAATCCAACTGTATCCCACTTGGATAAGTCTAATAACTTATAATTGCAAGTATAACTTCAAAAATTGACTAGCAAATTGTAGCTCTCAAAGTCGTTGTCGAACTCTGACACAGTCAGTTATGTGTCCTAATATAAGTGATCATATATTCCTCTGTTCTACAAGATATCGTATGGACATGAGACATGGATTACAATTAATCTCTCTGTCCAAGATTTGTTTCCCGATTTCTGATTTATGACGACTGAAACCAGACTACTAATTGAACATATCAATTCAGTTCAGGCTTGGCCAAGCGCTTTAGATGTCATCATCAAATCATCAAGGGGACCACATATATCGCTTTTCCCGTTAGGGCAAAAGGAACGGATAAACTTCAACTTATATGTTTGCACTATTCACTCATCAAATCACGTACAACAATATGTTTTATAACATCAAGTTACTGATGCGTTTACGTATTATCAATGCACAACTAACTTGTAAACAACAACTCATATATCTCAGTTTTAAGAATATAAGATATTATCGTCTCAAAATTACTCGTGATAAAATCCATGAAGTAATTCTCTGAGCGTGGGTAATCCAATACTCAAATCTCTATTTCAGAAGTACTCGTGAATATTGCAGCAAACCATTGTCATGTCTAAACCATTAGACAATATACAACCAATTCATGATAGTCTTAATTCACTACTTAATCCCAAAGTATGATCAACTGTGGATGTTTGAATAATTCAATTATTCGGGAAGTAAAACGTGCAAAGTGAAACACAATAATAACCTAATTAACTATGGTCTCAAAACTATTGAATATAAATAAAACACTTATTATTTAATCACCATATTAATTAAAATTTATTAATTGTACAATGTATTGATTAATAAACTATTACACTTGAATTAAACATTAGTCATGCCATGTTCTAAACATGCATACTATGTTTCTCTATATGGTCCTTCCTTTGTGAACAGATCAATTGGATATAATTCCAATGATGCTCATATCACAATTCTAAATCCTTATTATAAGTGTAAGAATTTAAAATTCTTGTCACTACTAGAGTGCGTTAGAGTTAAACCTTAAATGCAATGATCTTTTGTAATGTCGAGGCTTCAAAGTCACAAAGACTTCACCAACGATATTACAAAATGTTCCATTGAAACTTTGTTACTTAAAACAATTCAATGGTAATGAAGTATCAAATTCAAGGTACACTCTTTGAACATCTTCCTTGCCAAAAGTTCCACACTCACATGTAGATTTCAACAACCAACTCCCACTATGGAAACATTTCCATACTCCCACATGACCATCAATTTTGATCAAGAATCATCTTAATCCAAAACATGTCAATATGATCCGTCCAAATTAATACTATACTTTCAACTGTCCAAAAGCAACCAATCTTCAGGTAAAACCTCAGAATGTTCTTGAAAGTTGTTCAATAACTTCAGTCACATCCTGTTCTAGTCCTTTTTCCCTCTCAATGCCCTAGGTATTTGGAAAATCAGAAAAAGTGAATATTATATTATATGTAATCAATCCTATATCTGAAGCATATGAGATTCGATACATAATGTCTTACATAAAGACATGATACTTGATCAGACTCTTGCTATAATATTTCCATATATAGAATTTCCTATGTTGAATAATTTCAACACGATATTCATATATGTCCATGACTAAGTTCCATTAAAATCCTTCAATCTAAACTTTTAGATTTGAAATGAAGTATAAGTACCTTCTCCCCTAAATCCTTCTGTAGCGAAGCAATTCCCAAATATTGCAAATTTGAAAATTTTGCTTCTTACAAATAGTATTGCCAGCTTGCAATACTTAGCATAACAATTATGTTCTCACTTGCATAACGATTATTGCTCCCACTAGCTTTGACATGTACCCAGAAATCAATTGGACTTCAGAAATCAATACTCTTTAACTTTCTTACTAAAGTTCAGATTTATGATACGTGATGCATTAATCAGTCTTCATCTAGACTTCTCAAGCTCATACACCTTTCATTAGATAGCATATGTGTATGTTTAAACCCTTTCAGAACTTATAGCAATATGTCCTGAACGTTCGAACTATTTCTTGCCATTTCTCACAATTCGAACAATGAAAAGGGATGTCGTAATCATATACGAATTTGAGAACGCAATTATCACAATTGCTAACCACAATGATATTAATCAGACTTAAAATATACTGGCGAAAATGTTTCCTCATAATCCTTTTCATGAATTAGAGTGAAAACCTTGCCACCTGGATTTTATGGTGTATGTGTTCCTATCCATGTGAATCTGTCATTTCCAACCTACAATCATAAGATGAGGTTGATGACAAAACCAAAATCAAATTTTGTTTTCCTTTCATGGACTGAACTTTGCTTATTCTTAATTTCTTGCCATCTGGCAGCACAAGGGCCTACCAATGCTTCCAAGTTGTCAAACAACTCACTCATATTGATCAATGTACTATCACTGACCAACATGCTCTGCCTTTTGGAGTCAAATGAGAACCATAAAACTCATAAGCATTGTCAACTCAACTGGAAGGTGCATAGAAATAAGAATGTGTCAACTGAACACGATAGGTCATCAACCTTAGGTCGTGTGCTAGTGATAACTAAACGGTTTATTCTTGATTGACTCTTGAAACTCTTCAAGACCAATAAGACTCCCACTGACTTCTTGACATATAAGTTTCTCTTCAAGGAACAATCCTTGACAAGCAGAACAAATATTCAAAAGTTAGTGTGGATTTTTGACAAGAAAAACACTTCACTGAATCGGTCTTAGTTTTATCCTTTGTTTTAACCAAAACATCATAACTACCAATTCCAAATGTGCTAGAGTAAGAAAACATTTCTACTCCACATTTCATGAGGTGTTATAAGCTTACTTAGTTTGAAATAAGCTTCTAGATACGATTTGTAGTTACTAGAGTATGACGCTAAAACTTGATTGGAAACGAAGTATGACTCATATCTCGATTAAACCATTTCAACAATATTTGATTCTTCTTCTTAGTCAAACATTTGCACCAAGATGTTCTTCAAGGATCAATTTGTGACATGGTTCCACAATCATTAAGACGAAGGCTTGACCATGCACATCATCCTGAAGTTTTATAAATGATTTACGGTTTTGGGATACTCTGATATATGATTGTGACTCCTGGAAACTTTGTTTTTGTAAAACTTATGGATTTGAAATGGTTTTGAAAAATAAAGAATTTTGTCTTGATTTTGGAATGTTACAGAAGAAGAGATAGAACGAGAAGAAATGAGTGGGGTGGGGTGGGGGTACTTTAATGTTTTTTTTAAGTTAAAATTAGAAAAGAAAAAACGTACAAGAATATAAAAAAGGGCAAATAAGTCATTTCACAGGCTTAAGGACCATCTATGCAAGTTTTAGAAACTATAAGGACCAAGTTTGTCAATAAAAATTAACAGAAACTGAACTTATAAATTTTAGTAAATGACAAAGACCATTTATGTAATTTTGTCTTATAATACAACTAATTAATAATTATCACGTGAATATTTTATATTATATATATATATATATATATATATATATATATATATATATTAAAGTTGTGGAATAAAGGAATAGTAAACTTGTGATACTTTGTCCAAGTTTGGTCCCTTGATTTACATATCCGGTCCCTATACTTCTTTAATTAATTTATTCATGTTCTTTTGTTTGTGCTCCATTCAACTTCCCATTTTTTTGGCAGAATTGGTCTCTGTATTATTGTTGGAAGTTAGGAATACTAAATTTGGATGTTTTTTTGCAACTTTGGTCATTATTCTTTACCCATTTTGACACTTTTGGTCCTTGCAATCAATATTTTTACACTTTTTTGGAACCTTTTAATATTTAAAGTTTGGCCACAAAACTTTAACGGTTTGACAACTTTGATCCATTTTCTAAAAAGTTGCTAATTCCTACCCCTTTAATTCTTTAGTCATTATTCCTACCCCTTTAATTCTTTATTATATATATATATTAAAGTTGTGGAAGAAAGGAATAGTAAACTTGGGATACTTTGTCCAAGTTTGGTCCCTTGATTTACATATCCGGTCCATGTACTTCTTTAATTAATTTATTCATGTCCTTTTGTTTGTGTTTCATTCAACTTCCCATTTTTTTTACATATCCGGTCCCTGTACTTCTTTAATTAATTTTTTCATGTTCTTTTGTTTGTGTTCCATTCAACTTCCCATTTTTTGGCAGAATTGGTCCCTGTATTATTGTTGGAAGTTAGGAATACTAAATTTGGATTTTTTTGGCAACTTTGTTCATTATTCTTTACCCATTTTGACACTTTTGGTCCTTGCAATCAATATTTTTACACTTTTTTCGAACCTTTTAATATTTAAAGTTTGACCACAAAACTTTAACGGTTTGACAACTTTGATCCCTTTTCTAAAAAGTTGCTAATTCCTACCCCTTTAATTCTTTAGCCATTTTCACACTTCTGGTCCTTGCAGTCAAAACTTTTATATTTTTTGTCCGGGGCAAAGCCCGGACTTTTCATCCTTGCACTTTCTATTTCTGTCATATTTATCAATTCGGAAACAACGTTGAAAGCTTCTGGCCCCGCGTAGCGAGGTAACCTTTCTAGTTTAAATAAATTTTCGTATAAAGAGTTAAATGACAAAAAAATAACGAAACTAAAAGGAAAAGAGATTTGGCCCGAAGGCACCATAAAGTTGGTATTTTTGTCAGTAACCAATAAACAAATAGCTCTAGATAAACTGCATGGACACGAAACCGTCTGAGAGCGCGACAGATGTATGCTTTACCATTACAAAATCAAGATTTAATAATTATCATGTCTCATGTACGATTGTGATATGTGAAAGCGATAAGAATGTATATGATTGATGCTTTGATTTTTTTGATACAAAACGATATTTAATGGGCAAAATCGGTGTGCATTTACATACAAACGCTGATTCCACAACCAATCGCTAATCCTTGAGCAGAATCTTCTTCTTCTTCTTCGTGTAGTTACTGGAGCTTTAGTGTGTTTAATCTATGTCGACGACTAAATTAAGCAGAACACATAGTATGCGTGAGCGTGTCGAAAACACTCTCTCCGCTCATCGCAACGAAATTGTTTCTCTCCTTTCCAGGTGATTAATTAAATTTCTTTTCGCGTTTTACGTTTTACATCAATTGATGCAGATTTTAGGGTTTTATGTTGTTTATAGACTGCTTATCTAATTTAGGATTTGTGTATTTATGCGCTTTGCTTAGGTATGTGGCTCAGGGGAAGGCCATATTGCAGCCCCATCAAATACTCGATGAACTTGAAAATGTCGTCGGCGACGATGCTTCACGCAAGAAGCTTATTGAGGGTCCTTTCGGAGAAGTCCTAAAAACCGCGCAGGTAATAACCCACTTCCATTTGTAATCGTTGAAGTACACCAGTGCTTGTCTTTGAGCTTTTCTTTCTGCTTTTTTTGATTCATTGTAGTACTCCCTTTCCATGAAAATGATTTTTGAATACTGATACCCTTTCTGTTTTGTGGAATGATAGGAAGGCATAGTATTTCCTCCATTTGTAGCTTTAGCAGTTCGTCCAAGACCTGGTGTTTGGGAGTATGTGCGTGTGGATGCATATCAACTGAGTGTCGAGCAGCTGACTGTTTCAGAATATCTTGTGTTCAAGGAAGAACTTGTTGGGCAGTAAGTTGCCTCCACTTTCACTTATAGTCTCTCTTTCAGATATATAGTTTCATAAATTTAACTTCTTACAGGTATAATAACTCTTATGTGCTTGAGCTAGATTTTGAGCCTTTCAATTCTACATTTCCCCGACCAACTCGCTCTTCTTCAATCGGGAATGGAGTCCAGTTCCTCAACAGACACCTCTCTTCAAGCATGTTCCGTAGCAAAGATTGTCTGGAACCACTCTTGGATTTCCTCCGCACACACAGACACGATGGACATGTGATGATGTTGAATGACAGGATACACTCCATGACTAGACTTCAATCTTCTATGGTCAAAGCAGAGGATTATCTTTCTAAGCTTCCACCTGATACACCCTACTCCGAGTTTCAATACGAGTCAGCATCACCATCTTTCTATAATTCTATTCAACATCTTTCTTTTGCTTTCCTACATTTCAACTTCAAAATTTGAACGCAGATTGCAAGGATTGGGTTTCGAAAGAGGATGGGGAAATAACGCTGAAAGAATCCTTGAGATGATGCATCTTCTATCCGACATTCTTCAAGCTCCGGATCCTTCCATTCTTGAAACTTTTCTTGGTAGAATACCAATGGTGTTTAATGTCGTCATATTATCAATTCATGGTTACTTTGGTCAAGCAAATGTTTTGGGCTTACCAGATACTGGTGGTCAGGTACATTCTTTTTATAATTAATTCAGTATGAATTTTGAATTTCATATCTATAGTTTTGTTAACATTTTTTTTTAATTACCAAAAACAGATTGTATATATACTGGACCAAGTTCGTGCCTTGGAGAACGAGATGCTTCTTAAATTAAAGCATCAAGGACTCGATATCAAACCCAAGATTCTGATTGTACGTATACTTTTATTTCTAGTCCTGTTTTTAACAGCATTCTACATTTTTTTTATTAAACTTTGTGATGTTGTAACTTATGTAAGGTGACTCGGTTGATACCTGATGCAAAAGGTACTTCATGTAACCAGCCATTGGAAAGAGTTAGTGGAACTGAACACACCCATATATTGCGTGTTCCTTTCAGAACAGAGAAAGGGATTCTTAAAAAATGGATCTCACGGTTTGATGTATGGCCTTATCTGGAGAAGTTTGCAGAGGTAAATTAAATCAATCTACCAAATTGAATTTTTATATATTATTTCATTTTTTAATGATATATGTTGTGTTACAGGATGCAGCAAGTGAGATTTCTGCTGAGTTACATGGTACTCCTGATCTTATAATTGGAAATTACAGCGATGGGAATCTTGTTGCCTCCTTGTTATCCTACAAAATGGGAGTAACTCAGGTAAGATTGTAAGAAACCTTTTTCTGAAGATAAAAACTCCACAAAGTGGTGAAATTTATTATATCTATATTGATAAAATGCAGTGCAACATTGCGCATGCTTTGGAGAAAACAAAGTACCCAGATTCAGACTTGTATTGGAAGAAATTCGATGAGAAATATCACTTTTCTTGTCAATTTACTGCTGACCTTCTAGCCATGAACAATGCAGATTTTATCATCACCAGTACATACCAAGAAATTGCTGGAACGTAAGTGTCCAAATTTTTTATGGTCAACAAAAATCCACATCAGCATCAGCTTATTTTGTTTATAAAATTCATTTCAGGAAGAATACAGTTGGACAATACGAGAGTCATTCATCTTTCACTCTCCCAGGGCTCTACAGGGTTGTTCATGGAATTGATGTCTTTGATCCAAAGTTCAATATCGTGTCTCCAGGGGCAGATATGTCCATTTATTTCTCATATACCGAAAAGGAAAAAAGACTTACATCCCTTCATACTACAATCGCAAAGTTGTTGTATGACCCTGAGCAGAATGAGGTCCACGTGTAAGTCACTTTTTTTTGAAAAACTTTTTCCTTTCTTTCAAGTTGAAAGGGATGAAAAAGAAGAATGAAATTTTGCAGTGGAAATCTAAAGGATCAATCGAAACCCATGATCTTTTCAATGGCAAGACTTGATCATGTGAAGAACATCAGTGGTCTGGTGGAGTGGTATGCTAAAAGTAGTAAATTGAGGGAATTGGCTAACCTTGTTGTGGTTGCTGGTTATATCAATGTGAAAAGGTCAAGTGACAGAGAAGAAATTTCAGAAATTGAGAAAATGCATGAGCTTTTCAAGAAATATAAATTAGATGGTCAGGTGAGGTGGATTTCAGCCCAAACAAACCGTGCTCAAAATGGTGAACTTTACCGCTATATTGCTGATGGAAGGGGCATTTTCGTCCAGGTATAATATATGAATTATGATGACATGGCGGAAGTTAACATGTTTGCCCTTCATTTTAATAAAACGTTTGTTGTTAATTTCTGTGGTATTGTTGTGTGTCAGCCTGCTTTTTATGAAGCTTTTGGGCTTACAGTGGTGGAGTCCATGACATGTGGGCTTCCAACATTTGCCACCTGTCACGGTGGCCCAGCTGAGATTATTGAAGATGGGGTGTCAGGTTTCCATATTGATCCGTATCATCCAGATAGTGCAGCAGTCACTATGGTTAATTTTTTTCAAAAATGCAAGGAGGACCCGACTTATTGGGTGAAGATATCTGAAGGAGGACTTAAAAGAATACATGAAAGGCAATAAATATATCTCATATCATATCATATCAAAAACTGATGCTTCCTCAACAGTTGAATTCAGAATTTTTATAATGTTGTAGGTACACGTGGAAGATTTACTCTGAACGTTTGATGACATTAGCTGGAGTTTACAGCTTCTGGAAATATGTGTCAAAACTCGACAGGCGTGAAATTAGACGTTATCTTGAGATGTTCTACATTCTTAAGTTCCGTGATCTGGTGAGCTTTTTTCAGAACGAAATTGTTAAGGAATCACAATTGAGATAAATTTTATTAATTCAAGATGCTTTCAAAGAACTACAATCAACCAATTTTATAGAGGACGAATCTAAATTTGGCAGGTATTGCTAAGTTACCAAAAATTCAATAGGTCACACGATTTATGGAAATCGCGTGATTTTACAACTAAAAGTGATTAATTTAAATTGGGAAATGAGACAACATTGGAGGTCTAAGCAGCGAAAATGGCTCCAAATGGGTTGCTTTGTAATGGACCTCCGGTCCATTAGAGTTTTCCATCCATATAAAGTGGGCCTTATAATTTTAATTACTTGTGATCCATATCGGTTAATCTATATCAATCTTGTTGTTTCATATCATTTACAGTTTAAGAACTTAGTTATACATAACTAAGTTGGTGTATATTATTTCAGGTGAAATCCGTTCCACGGGCTGTCGATGATGAGCCATAAAGATTCTACTCTCCTCTCCAATAACTATAAGCAGATTGCTGCTATGTTAGTATCTCACTCAACTTAAATAATGTTCAGTTCAGATCTAATTATAATTTGCCAAACGAATATTCATGTCCAGGGTTTGTATAAAAAATAAAGGCATTTGAAATAAATAGCCTTTCTATTGTCAAAACTGGTTTTAGTTTAGTAATTAGTACAAGTAATTAATAAATACTTGCATCAAGGTTTGTTCATGAACAGATTGAATAATGTTGTAAAGAAAGCATTGATTGGGATATAAAGTGAAGTCATATGCTTCGTTGGGGACAGCAGGGGTAGGAATGTCTTCACGTTGTAGTTAACATGGGAATAGATTTGATACACATTTTTTTTTTCTTTATTGGACCCGGACCCGGACCCATGTTAATTTTTTTCATCATGTCATGTCTGACACAACTGGAAATTTGCAGCCTTTTAACCACACCACGTGATACGCACAACCCCTCATCCTATCTCCTTTACTTTTTAAAGTTTAAAGAGTTTTGATGGGTCAAATCTCGTTGGGCTCCACACCAAGGTAATACTATAATCCTACTACCCTGCTACTTTCAACATTTTCCATTTTTTATTTCTTGGAAATATTATCCTATCCATCTCCATTTTCCATACTTCATTCCAATAATACCGGTGGTTGTCTTTATTTGTCATTTTACCATTTCTTCACAAGTACCATACCAATTCAAACTTTAAGCCTTTTATGCACAAATATTCTAGTCATTTTTTTGGTTAAAAACCTTTTTATTTGCTACGATAACAATAATAGTAAAATGCCCAACAATCTACTACTACCCAGCCAATAATAGAGAATTTGCTTTGTTGATGACATTAAATAACACAATGTTACACTAGATAGCTCCTCCATATAAAACGTTTTATTTATTATACATCATTATGTTACACTAGATATCTCCTCCAATAATACAATGTTACTCAATAATAGAGAATTTGTTTTATTGATGTTATCCGATTTTTTTATCATCCATTTTATAAAAAAGGGAAAGGGAAAGGGAATTTTAGTTATGTAGTGTTGGTTATTTGATTAAAAAGGGAAAGGGAATTTTAGTTATGTAGTGTTGGTTATCATCCATTTGATCGCATACCTCTTTATATGACAACTGCCTTGTTTTTTAAAGGCGCATGCTGCATGACATAAATGAATGTTTTTACCAAAAAAGTGTAAAAAGTAAAGTAGCAAATGGCAAGAAATAGAGAAAATGATGTAAAAGAGTAAGCAGCGCGTGTACTAGAAAACCATAAATAAAAAACATTCATTCATGCGAGAGAATTCATACGGCTACACTAATAACGCCGGTTCTTGTACGCAAGCTTACAATTGCATCGAATTGTGCTAAAGAAAAAATCACTTGAAACTAGTAAATCCATCCAATAATATATTTATAAATATATTGCATTTTTGTTCTCAGGGCTCGAGGAATTTTGGTTTTTTTTTTTTTTTTTTTCCATCCATTACCTCTTAATAATTGTGTTTTACCCTTCCACCTTCCAATCGTTTTAGTTAGTTGACAAATTCCTCTAAAGCTGGCCAAAGGAGTGAGCCAAGTAAGACAAGGCCCCAACAAGTGGCGCGTTAATGTAAGTCGCCGGTTCAGACTGAAAATAATCAGACCGGACATCGGGGAAGTGATCATGCTCGTCCGGTCCACCAACCACAGCCCCAATCAGTAGGTTCGGGTTAGGAGTCTCCGAATGCATGATCGAGAATCCAGACCCACACTCGATCTTCGCCGGATGTGCAGAGATAGACGGCAGTGACGATCCTCTGTGGTGGATCCTTAGCGGGTATCGTGGACCATATCCCACCATGTAAGACATCTTCAACGGATTGTCCCCAAGCAAGTAATCCACCTGTTTCTTTGCAATCGCTCGAAGCCGTTTAGGGGTCACAATCGACCCACCACAGTTTACAACCTTCCGGGCTTGCGTTAAGTACTTGGCGTAAGTCACGAGTAAGAAGGAAGCTGACGTCACATACTGCATGTTAGAGTCGTCCATTTTAAACAAAAGCCCCCCTGGTGTAAATTCAGATTGAGAAAAGGGTGCCCCTGGAATCAGTGAACATATGAAGTTATCCGCATGACCCTTGTAGTCATGGAGCGATTGGAGCTTTTGTACTAGAAAAGCCTGTCAAATAAATTTAATTAATAAAAATGAATCAATAATACTCATACAAGTTTCAAGTTTAAGTACCTTGGAGAGAAGAACCCTAGCACCAGCATGTTTATTATCCCAGCCAAATGTGTTATCGGTTTCAGCAGCTCCTAGGGTTTGGCCATTTGCTTGAATGTAGTTGAGGTATTTTGGGCTCCTTGTAGCTTTCTGTAACCATGCTGCTCCCCATAACAATTCATCTTCGTATCCGGAATAGGAGCAATAGTAGGGGCAGACAAATTTTTTCAGCCCGTTGCTGTAGGACCCTCTATACTTATCAGCAAACTCAAACACCTGATGTTGTCATATGAACAAAGGCTTATAAATAAATTCCACTTCTACCCTTATCAGACATGGAACAATCTCTGAATGTGTACTTACACTAATGGCCCTCTTGAGTAGGAGCTTAGAGTAAGTCCGGTCAGACTTTCTGAAAACCAAAGAAGCAGACGCAAGTGCAGCAGCTGTTTCAGCGGCCACCTCTGTTCCAGGGGTATTTCTGTCGATCTTTATCACTGTTCTAGGAGTGTCCATGTCTTCAGGTCTCTCCCAACAGGCATGATCTTTTGTTGCGTCACCCACCTTCATTTCATTGATTTACAAACAAAATCTTTAAATACATAGAAAAACAGAACAAAACAGAGCACTGAAAATAATCTAAGTAAGTACCTGAACATATATAACATCTGGTTCTGCAGTAGCTTTGAGTAGATAATCGGTAGCCCAACGAATAGCTTCTTTGGCATTCCCCAGCTCACCTTTCATCAACCCCCCAAATTCGAGCACACTCCATGACAACATTGTGGTGGTGAAGGCCATTGGAAACCCAAACTTGATGTTGTCCCCTGCATCGTAGTACCCACCAACTAAATCCACCTGCATTGTCAAATTTCACCAAAATTACAAACAGAAGAACAAAAGGTGAAAATGTCGAGTTCGGATCTCCGATTACAATGTCAGTTTAGTAGGGAGGAGGAAATGATTTACTTTCATGGCTGCTCCGTCTGAAAGACCGGAGTTTTTTCTCCAAGTCATCCTCTGGTTTGGGGGAAGTTTGCCGGACCTTTGGCCTTCAAAGAAAATGAGGGATTTGGTGAGGGCGTCTTTGTAGTTGTGGGAGGCGACGCGGCGGGGGCTGTGGGCGGGGGAAGACCTGACGGTGACGGCGACGGAGATTAGGAAGAGAAGGAAGAGGATTCGGGGAAGAGACGAGGAGGAAGAAGGAGGAGCCATTTTTGGGGTTTCCCCTTGAGAGGTGTTTGGGAAGTTGGAAGCAAAGAGTGAAAAAAGGAGTGGGAAAGTGAGGTGTTTATAAAGAGGAAAAGCTGCGTTACAATTAACGTCCTGCTTTCGTTAAAGATAGTTAAGTAGTTAAGGCAATGCCAACACTCCACCCCTGTTTACCCTGAGTATCATCTATATAAATAAAAAATAATAATGAAATAAATAAATAACTTTCCAACAGGTAACCAACATAGTTAACTAACTACAAAAACAATGGCTCTGCATTGTGGTCTTTACTAGATAAATTATAGTTATATTCATTGACCATATTTAAGGTCCTACGTCACTATAAAACCATGTTTTTCTAAACTTTAACAAAATAAGGACAACAATCCCAAATATGAGTCCGCAAACTTGCCAAAAAGCTCTTTTATGGCATAAAGCATCACCACAAACTTTTTGCGGATACACTTAATGTTGCGCGACGAATATGTATAGATAGATTCAACGGTTTCTAATAAAGGAAAGATACATGGGTCGCCTTCTACTACACGAGTAGCAATATTTTGTTTGGTTCTGATACACCATTCAAGCATGCACTACGCTAGAGAGACAAAGAATCAAGAGACAATGTATTTTGATCGACATAAGAGTTTGGAGAGTATATCTTTGGGTATTTATATTATATTTGCAATATGATTTTTGGTCTCCTTCAAATTATTGGTCATTCGGTTTAATCTCGATTCAATTGTGTTTCCATATATTAACACATGAGTATTTCATTTCTAAGTTGATACCAATTGTCGGTGCTTTGCCTTTCTCTCTTAGTGTTACTCTCTTTACACTTTAAGATGGAGGCTAATGTAGAAGAAGACAAAGGTGAAGCTTGTAATAATTTCTTAATGAGAATGACAAAAATGAAAAACCATTAATGATGCAAAAGAAGGTCAACACATAGCATAAGGATTATCCTTTGCTAACCAAAAAACAAAAAGCAATTCTGGATGGATGAGATCATATTTTGAATATGTACAAGTCTCAAATATTTTTTAAACAAATTGTTAATGTATCTCACATCGGTGTGATGGTCATATAAGTTGTTATATATGTTGGTATCTTTCCTATCTGATAAAGTCTCTTTTGGAAATATAATCTTAGACTCTACATATATCCAACATGGTATCAACTGGCGTTTTCACCCTGGTGGCTTAACACATCATTACCTATTTTCATCCAGCTCATATCTCGGAGGAGTATTAATGTATCCCTATATGACATGGTCATATAAGTGGTCAGGGCCGTCCCAAGTCAATTTGAGGTCCGGGGCGAAATCAAAAGATGAGACCCTTCAAAATTTAGTAATTGCTAACAATAATACAATGATGTTGTGGAGACGAGTACAAGGGCATTTGTTATTAAATATATATATATTATATATATATATATATATATATATATATATATATATATATATATATATATATATATATATATATATAATGTGAAAAAATTGGAATGAGTTTAAAGGATGCGAGTTAAATATTAAAACCAATAAAACGGTTTGGTTAGTGCAAAAAAACCAATAACAAAGAAAAATAAAAAATTGAACTATAGAACAACCGACCTATTTGAAAAACCATCGATTTGGTGTTTGGAAAAAAAAAACAAAAATATGAGTGTTTGGAAAAA